CCATTCTCTGCCCCTCGCTCGACCCAGCTGTAAAATGGGTTCGTTAACAGGATCCACCCAGCTTGCAGGGCTGGCCCTCAGTGTGAAAGGAGGCAACACACACAGCGCCTGGAACAGCGCTGGGAACAGCATGGGTGCTGCAGAAGTGTGGCCTATCACACGTCACTAGTGGCGTGGAATTCTCTCAGGGTTGGCTTCCCCTGGGGACCCCAGCAGCCCCTCATCCCTCAGCCCTGCCCCCTGTTGCTCCCATGGGAGTAAGAACAAAATCTGAAGTTTGTTATTAAATCGGTTCCATTTTTATTGGATTTGAACCAAATACAGCAGGATGAGGGGTGGGAGACTGAGGGGTCTTGGTTCATGTTGGGATGGGCTGGGGAGCTCAGGGGGCTGGGAAATCCTAATATACGGATGCTCTGTGAACCCTAACATGACCGAGAATGCACCCCCTCCTGTCTTTGATAGGCTAAAGGCACTTGGATATCAATTTTGGGGAGGCCCTTGGGGTTGTCATGGTAAGCAGAGTCAGGCAGGTGCGAAGAAAATAATTGGTTGTGCCCAATTCAGGGGTGGCGGTTGGGGTTACAGGAACTTCACCCTCACTCATGTCGAGCCCCCTGGACCATCTGTACACCGTGGTGCAGGCCTGGGCCCTCCGGCCACAGCTCAGGGAGAATGGGCCGGCGTCGCCTTCCAGCTCTGTCTGAAACCTTTGCTCAAACCCTCCAGGGCTGAGCCGGCTTTCTCTCTATTTCTCTCTGACTGATCTCAGAGCAGTCTTGAGGGATCCAGGATCCAAGTCAAGCCATCAGGCCCATCTGCAGGCCTGGCCTCTAAATACAGGGTAATAGGCCGGGCGCGGTGGCTCAAGCCTGTAATCTCAGCACTTTGGGAGGCCGAGACGGGCGGATCACGAGGTCAGGAGATCGAGACCATCCTGGCTAACACGGTGAAACCCCGTCTCTACTAAAAAATACAAAAAACTAGCTGGGCGAGGTGGCGGGCGCCTGTAGTCCCAGCTACTCGGGAGGCTGAGGCAGGAGAATGGCAGGAACCCGGGAGGCGGAGCTTGCAGTGAGCCGAGATCCGGCCACTGCACTCCAGCCTGGGCGACAGAGCGAGACTCCGTCTCAAAAAATAAAAATATTTAAATACAGGGTAATAGGTTTGACCCTCAGACCCATTTCACAGATGAGGACACTGATGGTCTAGGTGATCTTCAGTCACCAGCTGAGATCGTACAGCTGGGCAGCAGCAGAGCTGCTCTTGAGCCCTTCCTGCAAAGTCCTGGAGGATCTGTCCTAACCTCTCGGTTGGCAGCCAAGCCCTTTCTGACTGAGGTTTTGGCCCAACAATGGTTCCTGTCCCTGCCCCCAGCAATGTCCTAACTGTCCTCTGGAGGATGTGGAGGGGGAGGGGCAAGAACTGGCTATGAGGAGGCCGGGTCACAGATGGTCCCTATGGTCCCTGTCTAGTGTCTGAATCCTTCTGCAAAACCTCAGCTCCTCCTTGTTTACCCCCCGTGACGGGGAGCTCACCATCTGCAGAGCAACAGGGCGGTGACTTCGGGGAAGCTTTTCCTTGACCTGAGCTGCAGTCGGCCTGTGACCCCAGCTTTGGTCCTAGATCTGCCCGACCACTGCAGGTGCAGAGACCAAGGTTCTTCCATCACCTTCTTCCAAGGACCCGGGTCCAGGCCTTCCTGCAGGGTGAAGCCCTTGTTTCGGCCTTGTTCTTGTCACTGCCTCTGCAATGCACATAGCAGGGACCCCCCGGGAACCCCCTGTGCTCTTTGGTCTTGTTCCCCACCTGAGCCATGAGTCAGCAGAGCCGGGCATGATGGGGCCACGCTCAGGGCTTGTCTGAGACTGGCTCAGGAGTCAGTGCGTACCTAGAGGGAAAGGTCCCTCCAGTATACCCATTTAGAGGGACACTCAGGACCCCAGAAGCCATGGTCCTGGGCCGGGGCCAGGGTGGCTACCTCTCCCTTGTGGGGTGGCCCTTTCTTGCCAACTGTTCTGAGAAGCAAGTGGCAGCGGAGGGAGGTGGAGGGCTGGGGCAATGGCTCCTCCTTGCGGACAGCCCTGCTGGGCTGTGGGGAGGACAGAAGACAGGGCGTGGGGACCCTGACTGTAACCCCTGTGTGTGCTGGGTCCTCAGCAGACCTGAGCCCAGGCCCTGAGGTCGGCTGGGAGATGCTCAGCTGAGCAGGTGCTGGGGTGGGCTGTGTGTCCCAGGTGTGAGTTGTGTCTCAGTTGTGAGTTGTGCCTGTCTCAGGTGTGAACTGAGCATGTCCCAGGTGTGAGCTGTGCTCTCATGAGAGCCCTGCCTGCCTCTGTGGTCAGTTCTGGTGCCCAGGGCCTGGTTTTAGTGTCGGCCGGGTGTGAGGTGTGTGTCTCAGGTGTGGTGAGCTGTGTGTGTCCCAGGTGTGAGCTCTGTGTTATGGGTGTGAGCTGAGTGTGTCCTGGGTGTCAGCTGTGTGTTCTGGGTGTGAGCTGTGCCTGTCCCAGGTGTGAGCTGTGTCTCGGGTGTGAGCTGAGCATGTCCCAGGTGTAAGCTGTGTGTCCCAGGTGTGAGCTGTGCCTGTCCCAGGTGTGAACTGTGTCTCAGGTGTGAGCTGAGCCTGTCCCAGGTGTGAGCTGTGTCTCAGGTGTGAGCTGAGCATGTCCCAGGTGTAAGCTGTGTGTCCCGGGTGTGAGCTGTGTGTTCCAGTGTGAGCTGTGCCTGTCCCAGGTGTGAACTATGTCTCAGGTGTGAGCTGAGTACATCCCAGGTGTGAGCTGTGTGTTCCAGTGTGAACTGAGTGTGTCCCAGGTGTGAGCTGTGTGTTCTGGGTGTGAGCTGTGTGTCCCGGGTGTGAGCTGTGTGTCCCAGGTGTGAGCTGTGTCTCGAGTGTGAGCTGTGCCTGTCCCAGGTGTAAGCTGTGTGTCCTGGGTGTGAGCTGTGCCTGTCCCAGGTGTGAGCTGTGTCCCAGGTGTGAGCTGTGTCTCAAGTGTGAGCTGTGCCTGTCCCGGGTGAGAACTTTGCTCTCATGAGAGCCCTGCCTGCCCCTGTGGTCAGCTCTGGCACCCCGGGTCTGGTTTTAGTGTCGGCTGGGTGTGAGGTGTGTTTCACCTGTGTGATTGGGTTCCAGGTGTGAGTGTGTCTCTGGGTGTGAGGTGCAGGAGGCCCAGGTGTGAGAAATGTAGACTTTCTGCGCACCCTCCCCTTGGGGCTGTAGGGCCCTTTGTAGGTCTTGGGTGTCCACCGTCTCCCTGGTGTGATCTGTGTGTAAAGGGCCGGGGGAGGGGAAGCCCAGGGCTTGGGGGCAGCAGACTTGTGCCTCCTGGGTGTGAATTGCGGGCCCTGAGGATCTTGGGGTCTCTCAGCACCCCCAGTCATTCCAGGTTGGTAGATGGAAGCCCATCACCCCACCTTGCAGCCCGCACCCCCACCGCCAACTCAGCCACCATAGCAGGGACAGGAAGACGGGTTGAAACCTTTAGAAAACGCTTGAGAAACTGCAAAAAGACGCATGCTGATGAAAAACAGTCCTGCGGTTGGGCGTCTACAAAAAAAGGGGAAGTTCTGCCAGGGGAGCCGCCGTGCAGCCGCCCCCGCCCCCTCCGGAAAATGCATAGGTGGACACGCGAGCGGCCGGCCCGCGAGGGGTGGGAGGGGTGGGAGGGGAGGGCCCGCC